ATAAATTTTGCAGTATTTCGCCTTCTCTGGATAAGAGCATTAATCTGGCCTCCAGCTCTGTTGTTAAAAATCTTGTTATTTTTGATCAAGACATGTCTTTTATCCCCCACATTAAAAAAATGTTACTAGAACCACCTTCTTCCACCTGTGTAATATCACTATAATTAGAAACATCTTGTCTAAAAATGCAGAAAAACTGGCTCATGCATTTGTCACATCTAGACTGGACTATTGCAATGGTTTATTATCTGGGTGTCCACATACTTCTTTAAAAAGTCTTCAGTTGGTCCAAAATGCTGCTGCCAGAGTTTTAACTGGAGTTAGTAGGAGAGATCTTATCTCTCCATTTTTAGCTTCCCTCCACTGGCTCCCTGTCAAATTCAGAATATAATTAATCTACAAAGCCCTCAACAACCTAGCTCCATCTTATATTACAGATCGTAATGTCCCATATTTTCCTAACAGAGCACTATGCTTTCAGGCTGCAGGTTTACTTGTGGTTCCTAGAGTTTCCAAAAACAGAATGGGAGGAAGATCTTTCAGTTATCAGGCTCCTCTCTTGTGGAACCAACTTCCAGTTTCTGTCTGTGAGGCTGACACATTTTCTAGTTTTAAGACTGGGCTTAAGACTTTCCTTTTTGATAAATCCTATAGTTAGTCGGCTTGGTTTCATGACCTATTCCTTATTCTATGCTGTATGCATATATACATATTGTATATCCTATGCTATAACCTTAAACTACTGGAGGACAAATTGACCTCATTTATCAAATTATTAGTTACAAATTCATACAAATGAATAGTTTGTATTTGTAATTATTCTTTCTTAACATGTGATTTCTGTCTTTCCTCCTAGAGAAATCCTGATGGCCTCCATCTTGGACCTGTTATTTTGTTTTTGTTTCTCCTTCCTGTCCTCTCAAACCCAGCAGTTGAAGCAGATGGCCACTTGCCCTGAGCCTGGTTATGCTGAAAGATTCTTCCTCGTGAGGGAGTTTCTTCTTTCCACTGTTGCCTCTGTGCTTGCTTAGGATGGGAGACTGCGATGAAGTGAAGACTCAAAGCAATCTGCTGGCTCCTTAGATAAATAATGTTATTAACTG